ACTGCTGAACTGCAGCTAGCAGTCAGCTGAAGTAGCTTGCAGTACTGCACTCTAACCACTGTGCCACCTTGGCTCTATTCCAAATTCCAAAGAAAAGCTCAAATGGGCAAAATGGTACACAAGGATTGTGGAGTAGATCCTGGACCCGTGAAGACAATGTCTCTAACATCATTTCTGGGTAATGGCTGCCATCTTAGAATCACCTGTTGGAGATCCTGCTTACCTAAATTTCACTCCACTTGAATCAAATTTGAATCCTATTGAAAGCCCCACATTAATATAATGGGGGAAATAAAGGCAGAAGTTTAGCACCCTCATGTTTTGTTTTGCAGGTTCCCACAGGCTGAATTATTTGGCATTACATGGAATTAATTAAATACAGGGGGGAGAATTACCTTGCATGCTTTTAATAGTTTTTTTTATCTTGCATGAAATCAATAATTGCTGTTCACTGGCAAGAACCTGAGTCATTTGACAGGTATACCTAACATCTTGAGGTCTGAAGTTGCACAAAAAGGTAGTTTGAAAACTCCTGATTATTCTGGGAGATAAGAACTAACTGCAAGGCTGCTGGCCAGAATGAACATTTCATGTCACTATAACATTGCTGCACGATAAAGAAATAAACCTATTCGCCTGCATGGTATATAGGTGTCATGTTCAATCATGTTGGTACCTAATTGTATAATTCTTGTTTCTCTTTAAGAAAAGGGGGAGGAGAGGATGCATCTGAAATATGCCTGTGACATCAAGCCAAAAGAAATACCTGTAACTGCTGTACATCAGATCAAACTATTGGTTCCTCTATCTTAGTATTATCCACTGTGGGAGCACAACAGGGGTGGGTTTTTTTGGAACGGGGGCCACATTTGGAGTAGTATGCTTGGGACTACAGGAATGGGGCTAGGACAAGTGTCCACAATCCCTGGGCCACAGACTGCTACAGATGCACGGCCTGTTGGGAACTCATCTGTGCAAGCGGCAAGCAAGAGTGTGATGCTTTATTTGTGCATGCGCGGGAGCTAGGTGGCATGGCTGAAGCCATCCCTTCCCTCCTGCTGCTGCTGCCAGAAAGGTTGGGGACAGCTGGGCTAGGACACAAAGTAGAATTAACTAAAGGACAATTAAAAGTTAGGTCCTGTACACATGATCAATTGCTGGTGCTTTTGGAAAGCCTTTGAGGGTTATACCGAAAACTAAAAATGGTCATAGGACCACAGGTTATGCAATTTAGTCCTCTAGGTTTCTGAAAGGGCATTTCCCTCCCTTTCTTGATGATCTACAGATTGGGAATTTTTCCATATAAACAACATGCTAGATTCCTGTGACAATGGGTGGAAGGAATCTATTCTAAAGGAAGTGACAGCGATTATTTTACAGTTCTCTGTTACTGATTTATCTTCNGAGGGGAACATTTACCTTTACCTTACTGTACTCAATGCTTACATAATGGTTCTGTCTGGCCAGAGCACTGCTAGTTCTTTTGCTGACAGCTTATAGGATTTGCTGGACATATTTCTCAAGATGTACACTATAGGTGTAACCCAATTGGATTTGGAGCTCACAACTTGACCAACCCTAACATTTAACTTTACTGTCCTTCCTGGGCATTTGGCTGTGCTCATTTGGTTCAAATATCAGAATCCTAATTCATTTGATTTTGAATAAATCCTACCTATGACCAATCATGTGGATCATCTCATAGGCTTTGCTGAATGGCAGTAGTTGGCTGGTCTTTTAGGGATCAGCAAATAATCAAGTTCATATCTAGTTAGTAAGTGGGTGGAAGATTATCAAGAATCCCAGGATAGAGAATTTTCTGGAATCCCTAGTTATTTATTTACATATAATTATAAATTACATTTATTTCATAAAAGGAAATGCTGTTCTTTTTCAGTTAGAAAAGGAGAACGATTCTAAGAATGAACTGTGTTCATACAAAAAAAATCTTTTAAATTTTTCATCTCTTTCTTTTTCTTTTTCATTTTACTACATGCCTACATAACTTCTGGATTAATACAATGGTCTATTACAGGTCTAGGAGCCGTTACGGTAAATCAAGTAAGTAAACTGAATACTAGACAGATTTATACAATGTCCATAGAGGTACCCTGGGAGCTGTTACAGTTCATAGGTCAAAACCCCACTTTTTAAAAAGCATCTATATATGTGTATATCTGATAGTACTCAAATAATGCATACAATTTTAAAACAAAAAATAAGGACTTTGGAGAAAATGAGGGGGGAAACAAAAACTTTCCTAAGCAGTGAGTGCATTTCTGATGTGAAAACATGCAAAGTTAAAGAAGTTTAAAAACTTGTAAGAAACCTTCACAGTTTTAGGAATAACAAATCCTTTTTTTATTATTAAAAAAAAAGCATTTTAAATGCAGGCAATTTAAAAATAAAAAAAGTTGATACATAATACATATTAAAAAATTAGCTCATTAGCAATAGTTCAATATCAGTCATGGACTATGTTTTAATCCAGATTCCATTTCTAAAACAAAACCAAGGATTATAAACAGTTGGGGAGGGGGGGTTGCCTTTACTATTTTTATTGAATTTCCTGACAAATCTGAGGCCAATGCTCCTTGGCTGGAAAATGTTTAAATAAAATGCCAGGTGCGACATTCGAAATGGATGCCCCTCTTAATTAATTTCCTACTTACTGTTCTTTTTAGCTCCCACTTTTAATGCTGCATTTATCCCCATGGCCAATGTTGAAGAGTCCCCTTCACATGTTCTGAGATAACTGTCCTGCTTGAAGGAATGGCTTCACTGGTCCACAATTACCAAAGGCTGTTTATAGCCTACACTTCTCTTTCCTAGAATTAAAAGGGCCTAATAAAAGTGAACAGCCACAATGACACATCAAGAACTCTAAACCGCCAACTCTGACTAAGAAGAAGGTCTCCCAAATTTACCAAAAAAATATCTGCAACACAATGGAGAAAAGAAGGAATTCACCAAAGTCTCTCTCTTAATGTAATGCTTGATTTAACTATTCCAATCCCTTTTCAAATGGGATAACCAAGTGGTAAGTGACCTCAGGGTCGTGTCTTAGAAAGGTACACAAGTAATACTTGTTCATTTTTTTCCTTTTATGACATTATTAAGAAGGATTTTGAAGATTGTTCCTGCATATTACAACAAAGACTCTGAACACCACATCACTGGGATCCTTACATTTCCTCTCCACTGGTGGATTTTGAAGAGATGTTTGGAAAGCATACTGAGTGCTGGAGAAATAATCTAGGATGAAAATATATCCCCTAAAGTTGTTTTCTTTCCATTCTCTAAATGAAGAGCCTTGTAAAGTCTCCAAGAGGTTTGGTTTTTGCCAAAATCGACTCCAGACTCCACCATTCCCTATGTTATCCTTCCTGTTAATAGTTCCATTAATTAGAGCTGGCAGAGTTTTCACTTCCTTATCAGAGACTGCCAAATCAGTGAGTGTGAAAATATTCCACTGCCAGTAAACTGGGTTGTTGGATATTTTTTCCCCTCCCCTAAATGTTTGTTGATTCCATGCTTGGTTTTAATTTGGAAGATTGTATTTTATAACCAGAAACAAACAAACAGATTTACAATCAAAGATGGAAAGACGTAACTGGGGAGGTGGTGGGGGAAAACCAAGCCAAGCATTGCAACCAAAGGCACCATTTTTATTGACTTCTTAAAAACCAAATAACCCAGCATATTAGTGTGGGCATTCTGCAACAGACATTCAGCCCCATTGTACTACTCAGAAGAGGATAAAAGGGACCCCCACTGTTTGAAATCCAGTGGAACATCCCCACAACAGAGCAGAACTGTTCCCTCATGCATGAATGGGAAGGAGATGAAAGAAAAGATGAACTTCTGAGGTGCAGCAAAACACAAAGACAACAAAAGTGCTGATCATGAGGGAATGACACAACTCATTGCAGCCAAAGGGATGAGAGAAAAAAGCTCAAAGAATGGTGTAGACAGCTAAGTGACATGTCGAAGAATGGAAAAATCTACAGAAGTGCCTTCGCTCTCCACACTTGATGAGAAACAATTAAATGTTGGTACATCTGTCATAAAAAGGATAATTGAAACCTGTTACCAGCTTTATGGAGAGCAATTTAACTACCAAAATTGTAGCTCTCCAATTAAATGTTGCCTCCTCTTATCTACACCGCTAACCCTAACCCTATCAATTATCTATTTGAACAGGCATATGTGAGAAGGTATATATGCATAGCTAACTTGGAACGAAAAGGGAACATATGATTCAACAGGCATTCTCCTAACACACAAGTGGCTTTCTGCAACAAAGCAAAAACAAAATTGTTAAGACAGTAGGAGAACAGGGTAATTGTTGGAAAGCTTGTGAGACCTTGTTTACCCATCCAGATGTTGCCTCGCCTGCAAATACAATGGTGCTCTAAACTAAACTATTGACCGTTGCTTTGTTGCTACTAGCTTGAAAACATGCAGCAGCCAACCGAAGTGAAGAGCAGTTATTGACCCTGTCAGGATACCTGATTAATGGATAAACGCTGTAATTGATTAGCAGGGAAGTGTGAATTAAAACTGAGAGTTACAGCATCAATACTGAATTCTTGACAAAAGAAAGCTGACATAAAATGTAAAGCCATTGCCTGCAGCTATATCTCATCTAAGAATTGCTTTCCTTAAAAACAGAAAGAAAGAAAGAAAGAAANTGGTCACCTCATGACTGCTACTGTGTTGCAATATTTTCAGGGGAGGGCTTGTTTTAGGGCATGTGCTCAATAGCCCGATTGGGCTTATTATCCGGGGAGGTCTTATTGTCGGGGGGAAACAGGGTATTAATTTCATCAAACTTAACAGATAACATGCTGGTTACCTTTCTATTTAGAGCAACACCATCTTCACAATCTAGCACTGCACAATCAACCTTGAGAGTTTGGATCTTCTGTATCTTTCTTCCATCATCTGCAGGCACATAGAGAACAGCTCTCCGGGGTATGTAGTTGCAAGACGGTGTCCCATGATAATGAACCCTGGGACAAGCTACAGGTAGGAGAAAAGTGGTCCTGTAAAAAAGAGTTTTCCAGTTATTGATTTTTATGGACTATATCTCTGCTCACCCCACAGAATCCCAAAGTAGTTCATAATAATATTAAAGACCAACAATTATTCACAATAGAAAATATAGCTTTAGAAAGCAAAGATTGACACAAGCGGGAGGGTCTTTAACAGCAGCAGAAGAAAAAAAGGGGGGTTAAAATTGCACTGGGGTTCGAGGTTAATTGGCTGCCAGTATTAAGCAACTTTTTTTCTTTTTAAATGGCTAGAGTGCTTGCTTTATTTAGCAATAAAGCTTAAATCTCATTATTCAAATTTCACTTTTGAAAGAACATTTCATAAGACTGGCATGATCTTACAAGAATGAAACCCAAGGCTTGGTCAGTTGAGCATTCTATTCCTGGTTGACATAGTCAACCAGGTATCTCTGAAATTCCCACCAGAGAACTCCTTCTTGGCCATGCCTTCAAAAGCACCCTTTTCTCAGTCCCAGACATAGTACCTACATACCTTTTGCTCTGGGAAGTTGCCTATCTTCCTTCTAAAGCTATAAAACAGATGTCCCTCCTGTTGAGTAATTTCAAGTTACTTCATACTTTATCCTGTTTCAATCTACAGCCAAAATGTCTGATGTAATTGGAAAAATTTTTGAAAATAAAAAGATCTGTGGTAACAATGGCTTGGAACATTATAATGTGCAATTTGGACAATAAGTTGATCAGAGCTAATTCCTAGAGGTGAAAGAAAAAATATATGGGTAGAGCTGCTATCACTCCCTGGGTTCCTATTTTTAATATATAATTTTTTATATATATATAGACACACACACACACACACACACACACACACACACACACACACAC